GTATTATTTTACATTTCATCTTAGGGTATTTTCTCAATCCTTGTGCACCACCCAGAGCTTTGACTATTGAGAAGCACAGAGAGGATGATGATGATGATGATGAGGAGGAGGAGGAGGAGGAGGAGGAGGAGGATGGAAGGGGACCCATGGAAGTGTTCATTTCCTGTTCCTAATTTTATTAAGCTCGAAGGTTCCATTCAAAGTGTGAGTTTTGGAGAGCATGGGAAGTCAATGGAGGAGCAGTAGGGAGCTCCACAGGCATTCCTGCTGGGCTTACCGTGAGTGTGGGCTAAGCCCTTATGACAGCCTTCCCCAACCTGGTGGCCTTCAGAGGCTTTTGGACTGCAATTCCCAGAATTCCCATCCAGCAGGGCCATTGAGTGGGAGTTCTGAGTGTTGCCGTCCGAATGTCTCTGGAAGGCCCAAGGGTGGGAGAGGCTGCCTTACAAGCCATTATCCGGTTGCCATTGAAAAAGGCAGCTCAAGAAAACTGCCCTGTTCCAAAGCCCACAGCTCCAAAGCTCAGGTGCTCAGCCTACAGCCCCCACACTTTGAGGTCTCTGCTCACATTCGCTCTGCATGCAAAGAGGGACCCGGCTTCATCATGGCTTCCAACTGCACAGAGAGCTCTTCTTGCATTCAGGCAAGTGAGAAACAGAGGACCTCTTCAGACCGCAAAGTCAGGGCCGAGTGGGAGTGGCCAGTGTGCCCAGGAGTGGGGTGAGCCGGCGTGGCTCTGCGCCTCACCCTCATCCTGTGCCGCATCCTGTCCAGTTCGGGCTGAATGCCTGAAGAGGCCCAGTTGGACCCTTGGTCCACCAGACTCGGTGCAGCCCACTTGGACAGGCAGTGTTTCCTCGGGGTTTCAGACAGGAATCCTTCCAGGTCCACCCAGAGATATCCCAGGGTGAACTTGCAATGCTTGTGCTCTGACTGCAACCATCTCTGAGTTGGCGTTTTCCTCCTGCTCTACCAGGTGCTCTTCTGCAGTCCATGTTCTAACACCTTCACAGTGCCTTTTCTCCCCCACACCCATGTTTCCCTCTCCTTTCTTTATTTCCAGTATTTACTTCAGGCCCTTAAGTATGCTGATTTGCTAGGCAGCTCTTTGTATAAAATTACAATAAAGCCATACGGTGACAGCAGTTAAACCAGTGGCAACAATAGAAGCAGGCAACCATCGATGGCAGAGGAAAACATAAATGCACTGTGTATTTACATCTAAAGTGGAGGAAAGCAGCAATGCTTTTCAGTCCCTTTCTTTGTCAGCAGCTGGCAAGAGGGGAGCACACACGACAGTAATGACCTCCAGAGACAGCGCCAGACTCTCACTGAGAGAACCTCTTCTGTGGTGGCACCTCCTGTTTATTTCTGCCCTAGGAAACTTTTCCTAGTGCCCTTTTAATCACCACATCTATATCAGGCTAAGGTCACCCTATTTTTTGAGCTTTTAATTAAATATGGCTTATATATCCTGGTATTTATTATGGCCATTTCACTTTTATTGTAGTACTGTATGAATGTCATTCATTTTATTTCATAAGCTATCTAGTGGATTTTTGCATAAAAGAAAATGCAGGGTATAAATCACTTTGGGCACAATCTTATGTGTGTTTAGATAGAAAATAGGCTTGCAATTCTCAGCATGCTGGGAGTTGTAGGTTCTTTCTCCTGCCTAAGCATGCATAAGCTTGCACACTTGTTATTATTTTTAAATACATGGAGAACTGGGCACGGTGGAGTCCTTTCCCAATTTTTCTTTTGGGAGCCACCCAGTATGGCCTAGTGATGCAAAATTCTACCTGGAGTCGTAGAACAGATGTCAAAAGGAATCTAGTATGCTTTGCCCAAGGTTCCTGAAAACTGCCGTCTCCATCCTCATTTAACAAAACAAGCAAGAAAACAGCTGGTAACCACAACCTCAAACACTGCTGAAGTACATGAATAAAGGGCAGAACTTTTTGACCTTAATATGACAAATTAGATGAAAAGAAAAGAGCTGAAGAAAAGCTAGCAATAATGATGATAGGGATACTAATGTTATTTCTGTACTATTGGGTAGCCAAAGCTTTCTGGGTGGTTTATAACAATTCATAAAATATAATGTAAAATGCAAATAACAATCAAAACATCACAAAATTTCAGTAGAGAAGTTTGAACTTGAATATGGAGACAGCTAACACACACATATACACATCCTTGTGTGTATGTGCATATACTCCCATGCACGTGTGTGAATCTGTATATACAGTAGTAGGAAGCAATGTTCTATTATTTTCTCTTTTATAATAATTGTTGTAATTATTTTTATAGTGCCCAGAATTGTGCTGTAGGTACTGTGCAGCTAGGAAGATGGTGTTAGCCAGAAGACTGTAGACCTTAAAAAAATATTCCCAAATACCAGGCTATCTTTTATGTTTATACATATCCTACAAGGATGCATCCCAGTTAGTTATTTGCTCCTCATTTCTATATGGATCCAAAAGTAGGTTAACTGGGATGAAGCACACAACATGCTGCTAGTGTTTGCACACTCATGCATTTGCTGATGTATATGTGGAAACATTGCAGAACCTCAAAGTTATGAACACTTAGAAATATAGTCCTTTTAGCATATGCTAACCTCAGAAAAAGCCAATCGTCTGTCCACCACCCAACCCAATTAAATGGACACTAGGCTCACAAAGCCCAGTCCAACCATGACTCCAGTTACTCCATCCTTATTAATGTGAAATGGATGATTGTTTAATTATTATCAAAATAAATATACAAAGCGACCTTCCTTGTTCAGGGAATGCCTGCACCACATGGTTAGAAGAACAAGTGACTGTTTGACCAGTCATTCTTCAGTGCTATCTATAATATGGCCTGGTACTTACATTGCTGAAAGTACATATCTGTATAGTAGTTTGCAATCAACAGCATAAAGAAAGACATCTATATTGTCGGAGGATATTAATTATATTAAGTGGGACCCTATACACAACATCATTATTGATGTCAACTTTTATTATGCTAAATACACTTCTCCCAAGTGTTTTTAAAGCCATCGTTCTACATGAAAATGGAAACCTATAGAAGAGGGATCATTTCCTTGCATTTTGGCAGGTCAGCTGATGCATTTTATTTCAATCTTCAGAAATCTACAATTTGAGAGTTGGCCTTGTACGTTACTTTTGCTTCCGCACCTAAGTCAATTTTTCCACTATGAAAGAACAGAACAGCAACTTAAATTAATCTGGGAAATGAAGCTCTGTGCTTTAGCTCATAAGCAACTTTACCACTGGAGTAAGCACTTGCTTAGCCATGGCAGTCAATTCACCTGCTCTTAAGGTAAATTTCCAGGGATGACATGAGGAGGAAAATTTTCAGGGGAGTGATGGAAGGGGATCAGCCAGGGAAACTCCTCCAGGCTAGTTAGAGTTTCTTTGGCTGTTTCTAAGGGTAGCCATGGTCAAATCTAAATTCTATCCAGATGTGCATGACTGTGGTAAGGCCCCTCTCTCACAGGAAGGGAACAGCTGGCAAACCAGATTATGCTGGTGAAATGCACTGCAAGGGACCACTGCCAGCTGAAGTGGAACTGAATCTACGTTTTTCCTTTGCCCTGACCCTTTCAACATTTTATACAAGGTAAAGAAGTACATTTAATGGAGAAAAACTGGAGGATGTATGAGCTTTTGGATTTCACAGAAGTAATTTGCCTTGCTATGTTCTGTGTAACTCAGTGGCATCGACGCTTACTTGATTTTAGGAGTGCCATGATCCAATGGAGTTCATATAGCTTTACTGAATTTCTTCAGTAAGGCAGCAGTAACTCCCTGCCATTCTCAAGTGCAACACAACTTTCTTGTGCAGCACAATTCTGCCGACATATAAACACAGATGTTTGTACTCGGTCACAAATGTGCACTGGTGAGCACCAGCCGTTTGCCAGTCCCCCCCAGCTGATGCAGCCCTCCACACCAGATCTCATTTTGCTGTGCAAGTTCCCCCCACCCCACCCACCACTCAAGGGAAGCTTTCCAGAGGGTGGGGTTGGTGTGGAGGACAGAAGGTCACCCCAACAACCCTGATTGACCATGGGCTTTAGAAGGGCGCAAGTGCTTAGGATGTGTTTGGGTGCAGTTGGAGACGGATGCTGACAGGAGGACTATGCACTGATCCCCTCAGTCACTCCTTCAAATTTTCCTCCTCACCTTCTCTCTGGGAATTTACCTTAAGTGCAGGTGAATGCACTGCCATGGCTAAACAAGTGCTTGCTCCAGTGGGGAAGCTGCTTATGAGCCCAAGTTACATCTTCACTGCAGGAGCTGGAGGAGGACCTCTGGTTTAAGAAGGCTCTCTGCTGTCCAGACCTTTTTCTCACCCTCTCCATTTTTCCAGTTCACCGGGATAAACTCCCTTTCTTTCCTGAAATCCCAGTTTCTCTGATTCAGAGACTTTGCCTGCCGTCCATCCCGCACGGCGAACCCGTTAAGTAACACAGCGTGCATCGCCTTGCTCTGCCCTGCGGGCGTGTTGAAGCAACTTACGCCCGGGCAGCCCAAACACTGCTGGCTGCTCTCCCGAAGCAGCGGCCGTCTGTGCGCCTCTGCCCGCCCCCTCCACCTTCCGACCCACTCCGGACTCCCCACGGAGGGGCTTCTGGCCAAGGTTCCAGGTGCAGCTGCTCCTGCTCTCCTCTTAAAGAGGGCGTGGCAGGAGGAGCAGCAGGAAGGGAGGAGGCGCTGATTGGCCAGAGCGGAGGCGGGAGGTAGGGAGTTTCCCACAATGCCCCGCTGCAGCCAGTGCGGCCGCCGATGGATGCTGCGGGAAGGTGCTGCCATTTGCAGCCGCCTGGACCAGCGGCTCCGTGAGGGGCCCCCCGTGCCGGCAGCAGCCCAGCCAGCCAGCCGCCTCGCCCTTCTCCCGGCTCCGTGCGGCCCTCGGCGGCTCGCTCGCGTCCTCCTGCCTCTCCAGCCCTTTCCCCCGCGGGTCGCTGTCCGTTCAGCACCGCGATGAACCCTCCTTCGGCAGCCGGCGAGGAGAAGGGGGCTGCGGGAGGCGGCGGCGGCAGCAGCAGCAGCAGCACCGGCAGCAATGCTTGCCGGGGAGCCGAAGGCGGCGGGGACCCTCGGAGCGCAGCCGTGGCAGCAGCAGAGCCGGAGGAGCCTGGACTAACCAGCCAGAAGGAGGAATCTCTCGAAGAGAAGCTGAAGAGTTTAACCTTCAGGAAACAGGTGTCCTACAGGTGGGTGAAGAGAGAAGGGGAGCTGCCTTTCCAGGTGTGCTTGACCCACATGAGTTGGGATGTGTGTGTGTGCGCGCGCGCGTGTCTCCTTCAACCTCCGAAGGTATTCATCAGGAACTTCCCGAGAACAGCGATCGTGGAAGTCCCAGTCTGCCTAGCACAATTCTTTCAAGTTTTCCTCCTCACCTTTTCTCTGGGAATTTACCTTAAGTGCAGGAGCATTGAGTGCATCCTTGCGATCGCTGGATGTAGACGAGGTAGCACTCCTTAACGTCCCGTGTGGCTGCTCTCCACCGGCTTTTACCGTCAAGATGGCAAGATGCCCCTCCAGTTTGTGGATGGCCAGGGGAATCTAGCCCATCTTATTGTCCAGGGGAGCAGGAAGGGACTGTTATTTCAGATCAATCAATCTAGAGTTGCAAAAAGGCATAATTTTAAGACTAAGGCAGATTCAAGGCGATAGATTTCAAACCTGGGGGGAGTCAGGACCTATTGTTTAGACCTTCTTCCCGGAGATCTTTGAGGATTGTCATGGCTGTTTTGGATGGGTGAAATAGCTTCGCCAGATTGAGCATTTTCCCTCCCACTTCCCTCTCCCAGTGAAATCTATAGCCTCTGTGGGCACGTTTGCCTGAGAGATAATCTAATGCTAAAAAACCAGTGTTCCAGGAACAGTATGTAGTACGTAATGTGTGTTTCTGTGTCAGGTCATTACGCGTATATACAGCGGCAGAACAGCTGCTGCCCCAAATGTTACATTTTTTTCAGAGCCACGAAAAAGAAGCAATTGGTGTATTTGTAACAGCACTTCAGAAGAGGGCTGTGAAAGACTTCACATTCCTATACATAGACGTAATATTGGGTAGAGAGCATTGCATGTTAGATATTGATAGTACAATATCCCTCATATGAGATGGTGATTCCATATAGGTCTGTATGAGTGGGATAGCTATATGTTGTGGAAATGTGTATTCGAAGGGACAGCTGTTAAAGAGTTAATGTTGCACAGCTATGCCAATTTGTTCTGCCAGAATGTATGTGTAGGTAGCACCGTGACAGCAGGCGGTGGGAGTTACACTGGCAGAAAAATGTTACAAGCCATGGCAGGGATTACGGTGAGATAGCACCAGAATTGTCTGCTCTCCACCCGCCATCCCCATAACCAATCCAGCTTGCACTGAAAAAGTGAGCCTGATCTTGTTTACAATCCTGCCAAACGGACAGCACTTCAGGGAGAAAAAATGGCACAGGCTTGGGCTGATCTGTCTGTGTGCGTGGACATTCCTCAGAAAGGAGTTCAGGAGCGCTGTCTGATTGTCAGGGAAGTAGAGTTATGCTTGGATTGAAAAAGCGAGCAGGGAAGGAAGGAAGGAAGGAAGGAAGGAAGGAAGGAAGGAAGGGAAGCTCTCCTACTGCTTTCTTGTGGTGGGAATGGGATGAAATATTTCCTTTGAATAGCATCAGTTGTCAGTAGCACTGATATGTTTGTTTGTGGTTTCCAAAGTCTTCTGAAGAATGTCTTCACATCCATTTTCAGCCTTCCAGTGATTCATTATGTAAGTGCTAGTATATGCCTAATTTTGCTGGTGGTTCTGCAAGCCCACTTCTTTTGCTTGAAGCCTCAACTCAGAAGGTGGCTGAATGTAACTGTTCGGTAAATCTTTAGGTCTCTGCTTTTTTCTTTTTATGCTTCATTTTCTCAAGCGAATCAGAAGGTTCCGACTCCAGTAATAAGTGAATGTCTTAAGTGCTGGTTTTCTGTGCTTTGCAAGATAACCCAGTAGCTTCAGCAAGTTATGACATGAGCCCAGGGCTGTGATGCTCTATGACAGACAAAGCTTCTGGAAGGACACAGCCGGTGATTCTGCAAAAACCGCCACTTGGCAAACCCTAATCATTCACATGCAAACAAAAATTACCAAGTGACTTCAAAAGCAAGGTAAAGAGCTTCTGAATAATTAGGGTCTCTTACCTTGCCATGCCTTTGCTTCAGGAAAAGTAACAGTTTGTAATAGCCTGTTAGCTATATGGCATATGCAGCAAAGATGAGTGGGGCAAATAGACTGTTGGATTCAATGGTGTCGTTCCACCAGCAGAAGGGAAAAAGGTCTCCAGTCCTCCTGTGTACCCACTAAATCTGCTCTGAAGGATTGGAGGATCATCCAGAGAGGATCTGAGGGTGCATGGATAGTGCTGGGGGAAGGGGAAGGGACAGGGAAATCCCACTACAGGAGCATTGTGTAACATTGGATCTAAGCCAGAAAAGCAAAAGAACACTTGGGGTCTTTGCAGGCATTCAAATATGCTTCGCAGCAAGCATTTCCAGGGAGAAAATATGGTACCCTGATTATGTAAACAAGCTCTGGTCAATGTTAGACATATGAAACAACTGGAATAGTGCACAAAATGTAAGTGCCCACCCCCAATCTCAGTTTGGATAGACGAGTGGCTTTGATTGGGGTGGGTCATAAAATACATCCACATAGTTCCTGTCCACCTTCACCCGACTCTTTTCCAAACTTACAAACTCTACATTTATTTGCTTTTTTGCTGTGTGAATGAGAAAGAATCTAGTACAGGCAATTCTGGCAGCATGTAATGCTTTGAGTCTAACAGCATCTGATTTCAGAAAAACGCTGAGCCCAGAAAGGTGGTTTGATGTGTGTGTTGACCAGTCCATCTAATCAGCTTCCATGTCCAGAAGCTAAAAGATGGGATTTGAGACCACACACTTGCACACTGAAGTGGTTTACTAACAGCTTGCTTTAAAACATTAGCAGAGAGATCTGTTGCTTTCTGAAAGGTAGTATCAGTGGATTATTTAAGTCTGTGAAGAGCACAGGCTATCTCTTGTGACTTTGTAAACAAGAGATGACCGCCTGGCTGATGAGTGCAAAATCCAGAGTGATTCATTGTTTGCTGACCTTAGTAAGTGACACAAAATGATACATCTAGTGGTTCCCACTTCCCAAACATTTATGTTGCAGTTCCATGCCTGTTTGCTTGTTTGCTTTTCCCAACAATTGTGAAACATTGTTCCAGGAGATGAATGCCAGGCTGTGAACAGTGGCCTGTGGTGGTCAGAGATGCAGGATTCTACACATGGGGTTGGCAAGGTGGGTTGAGGCACTGTAAACCAAAGCTGGAACCCTGGACCACCGGCTTCATTAATGCTTACATTATTTGACGTTCATGGGACCAGAGACTGGTTTGTTGCACATCTTTTAGTAGATTTTTTTTGACAGTTTTTAACTTTTGGGCTAATAGATGATAGGATCAAAAAGCTCCCAGCCTCTGAGATGTTAAGGTAGAGATACTGAACCTGAGGGCTGAAAAGATGAAGTGTGGGAGATTGAGCACTGCTCTTAGGGGCAGTACTCCAGTGGAGGGGAGGGCCAGAGGCAGAGGGGATAGAGTTGAAGGGAAAAGGGAAAAAATACTGAAAACATGTACATATTTTAATTCAACACTATTGTTGACAATAAGAAAGTCTTAGGAGAAGCATTTCAACCTTTGAGAACAGGTGAAAAATTAAACGAAAGCTGGAAAAACATCAAATGACCGACCGACACAAGAAACATGTTATGATGTGGGAAAGGCCATGGTCATCTGGAGAACCTCAGAGGACCACATGGAGACTCCAAGCACTTGTGCTTTGGCCCCTGGGCCTGAGGTACAGCACCCCTGCTTTAACGTTTAAAATGGATGGATTGCTCCTACAGAAGGTGGGAGTGGCCATTTTTAATCATCTTCCTCCATGAAACAATTCCCCCATCCCAGACAGCAGTGTGTCTGCTCTACAATCTGGTTGAACATTAGAGGAGCTATCCATGGCAGTGAAACAGGCCCCAAATAATTTCAGAACCATGGATAGCTTTTAAAAGTTGAGACTAAAATTTAGAGTCGATACAGCACTCCACAGACATTGTAGTCTTCTCTGGATCCAGATGCTCCTCCAGAAGATTTGTGGGTACACACACATATGTGCACTTGTGCGCATGCACACACACACACAAAGGGTTGCACAGGGAATGAGTGAAAATAGGCTCTCCTTTCCTCCAACCAGTGAGATCCACCAGCAGAAACAAAGTTCGGATCCTGACCAGTTTTTCATCTAGACCAGCATCCTGTTTCCTGCACTGGCCAAGAAGTGGGGCATGAAGGCAAAGTTCTTCTTACATTCTTCTAAGCCTAGAACCTGTTTTTTCTCCTCCTTTTCCTTCTTTTTCAGAAGTAAACTACCCTTCTCTCCAAAGGCTTTCTTATGTACATTAGCTCTTTGAAACTTCCAGGCTGAGGAGTAATATTCCCTCCTCTCTTTTTTCCATAAGAAAAACACCTTAAGCTGCAGCAGAGTTTTTTTTTTCTTAGGACTCGGATGGATGGATCATCTTCTAACAAAGTCTCTGCTTCTGGTCAGAAATGGTAATTCAGGAACTCTTAGCTTGTTGCTGAAAGAGTCTGGTGTATTTGGGTCCAGTGAAGTTGGGGCCAGAGCAGGTGATATAGTGGGAAAATTTGGGTCCCTGGACTTACTAGTATCATGTGGTGAAGGGGAAGGGGCATTAGACTGCTAGGTATATTACTCCAATTGTGAAGGACACAAATCACGGTTTATCCTCCCTGCACCCACTCCATTCCATGCTTTAAACTGCTTTAACATTCCTAATAGGTTAGAAGAACAGCAAAATGATTTGCCAGCTCTGACTTAAATATATCCTGAGCGTGTGCAATTCATGTGCATTGTAGCATCTCTGTGACTTTAGGATAACGGGGAGTTTGCTTCTGCTGCTCTGATGCCCTCAGCACCTGATATTGGCTGGCTGGTCGATTGAGGTGCGGGGGAGTCCCTAGACTTTGGTTCCAAGGTCCAGCCAGGGCTGTGCTGTTGCCTGGAGAGGGCACAGTAGAGGGTGGCTTGACCACTTCTATGGATTGCTAGGCATCTATATGAATAGGTCTGTATCTATCTGTACCTATACCTATAGCTATGTCTGCCT